CACCAACTGTGAGATCATGACCTAAGCTGAAATCAAGAGTTGGATGATTACCTGATTGAGCCACCCAGGTGCCCCTTCCCAGGGAAATCTTATAATTTTTCATATGTGGTCTTTTTGCTTTCACCTTTTTTTTAAAGTAGGCTCAATGCTCTGCATGGAGCCCAACATGGGGCTTGAACCTGAGATCAAGACCTGAGCTGAGATCATGAGTTGGATGCTTAACTGACTGAGCCACCTAGGTGCCTCTGCTTTTACCTTCTAGCATTTATCCATGATGTCCCTTACATCTGGGAGACATGCTCACCCAATAATGTTAATACATATTTCTTGAATACTTGGACTTAACTCAAAATACTTGTATCATGAACCCCAAATCACTTTTCTAGTCAATTTTATTCTTATGTGCTGAACTTGTTTCTAGTTATGTTAATGTTACATGAATCAAATATGCATTAAAGCCAAAATAAGCTGGTTCTGAGATTGATTTTTTATAGAAATTAGCTGGTTAATCAATAAGCTTTTATAACATATAAGGCTTGAGCAAACAGTACAGGAAAGGAATCTATTGTTAATACAAATTACAAGCTCCACAAGTCTCATTACAAATGCCTTTCCAAAATATTGACTTACCAAATACACTGGACATTAACCAGTAAAAGTAGCTAATGTTTAGAGTATCTCTAACCAAATTCCCTATTAACCTTGATTTATAATTTAGCCATATTGTATATATAAGTAAACTTTCATCACCACTAAATTTCAGGAACCTACATAAACTCCATAATACTTTGTATTCAATGTGTAATGAATAAATATTGATGATTATATGCTAGTTAATAAACTAGAAAATTTTATCTTTATTCTGGAAAAGAATAAAGATAATTACAAACAAATTTTCCTCTGTCACTTGTGCTAATTCCAACTATTCTAGTAGTGGCAAATTCACTATCATTGAGAAGGGCAAGAAGAATGAAAAGGGTTTATGCCAGTATTTCATTCCACATTTGGTGGGAAGAGGGTATGGCACAAGAATCTTTCTGAAACAGTACAAGGAAACTCAACATAGGCACTGAACTCATTTCTGGTTTCACCAAAATTTTAGAGTAAATAATACAATAGAAGATAATGGGTATCATTATTAATAGCATCATCTGATAGGATGTGAAATATCATGTTTGTCTTGGAACAAATATAAACAAATACAATAAAGCATTGCAGAAGGTCAAAATCAAATCAAAATACAGTGGGAAGATATTACAAATGGGGTACAGATAATTTTAGACTTCAGCTCAGGTCATGATCTCATGTTTCGTGTGTTCAAGCCCCGCATCGGGTTTTGCGCTGACAGCTCAGAGCCTGGAGACTACATTGGATTCTGTGTCTCCCTTGCTCTCTGCCCCTCCCCTGCTCATGCTCGCTCTCTCTCAAAAATAAATAAACATTTTTAAAAATTTTTCAAAAAAGAGAGGCAGAGTAAGGTGTTCACCAGTGAAGTGACATATCACTACTTAATTTCAGATGTTACAGCAAAAAAAAAAAAAAAAACAAGAACAAAAAAACAAAAAACAAAAAAAATGCCTATTTTATGTAAGGCATGTGGGGGTTCATTGTACTGTCCTTCCCATTTTTCTGTACATCTGCCACTTTCATAATTAAACGTTGGGAAAAAGAAAGCTGGGAAATGATATTTAGGATGGAAGGAAGGGGGCAGGGAAAAAATGGGAAACTTCATTCAGAATATATCCTAAACAGTAAAATACAAAATTGGAAAGACAGAATATGGTGGTAAAAGGAAAAAAACAATATCATAAAAAAATAAGAGAACGTAAGGATGTAAATTTCTGAAGAAAATGGTTCTCTCTCAAACAGAGGTAATACACCCAGTTATGAGGGCTCTAGGGAAACAAGTATAATTCGAAGAAAGAATGCTGGGACTGGACTCAAGTGTTTTAATCTGCCATCTGAGTCATAGCTAAAACAATTCCATGGCAACAGAACAGATCACACAGGCCAGCAGTCTGCCCGCTAGTCTAGCCCTCCTTGCTAGATGATACCATCACTGCTCTGGTGAGGCTAAAGAACATCAACATGAATACTAATAGTAGTGATAAAGTATGGCTGCCACATCACCTCATTTTTCTTGGTAAAAGACCAAAAGCATGCTTTTACAGCCCAAAGAGGTCTGCACACAAATCCGGCAATATTTTTATTTAGAAGAAAAGTTCTTAACAGGATGAACTTGTTACTACATCAATTTACATTATGGAAGGTAGTAAGCATTTCCTATATAAGAACACTGCTATTATAGTTTGGTGTCAGGGAAGGGAAATCCTACTGCTTCCCTTTCTTGAGTCCCATTAAACATGCAGCAAACTTCAGTGTACATTATAATTATGTGGGATGCTGATAAAATGCAGGTTCCTAAGCCCTGCACACCGAGACTGTCCTTCCATTGCCAGAGGTGAACGGAGGGAAGAATCTGTACTTGTTCAAGGACCCCCAGGGATTCTGAGGTTCATTTACAGGTCTGGGCTGCAACATGCAGCCAAGTTTGGGATTAGATATGATGATACAAGTAAGGAATTACCAAACTGGGAATGAGAAAGTCTGGGGGACAGATTCGTTGCTAACTTATTCCACTTTGGGAAAGTTATTGTCTCATGCCTCAGTTTTCTCATGTGTTTAATGTGGATAATACTGCCCCCCCCCAACTTACTGGACCTCACACACATGCTAATTTATACAAAAGTAACTTAAATTATGAAGAGCATAACAAATAAGCATTAGATCTTTAAGAAGGGAGTCTTTAATCTAATTCAGTGAACACAGTATTATATATTCCTGACAAGAGCCAATTACAGACTACTCTCTCTTTTTTGAGACTTAATCTAATGAAAGTAGTGCTAGAGTAAAGTGACATTCTTGTTCTTATCACTTGACAATTCCCCCAACCCCAGCAAAAGAAGCCTAGAGACAATGAGGACATCACTTAAGTATTGTGAAAATTATATCTAGAGGAGGTTCTGTGTCTTAGGATGTTTCTTACCAAGTCTATGAGTTTGGTTACAGGCACTTCTCGGATTGGTCTTTTCATTCGGCACAAAGCCTCTAAGGATGTACCAAAGCAACTTGGGAGGTAATTTCCACTAATGGTCAAGAAGTAATCTTTGCCTCGATCCAGGTGAAGGACTAGAATATCTTCAATCTTATCTTCCCCTGAGTTCAGAATGGTCACAGAGTCTTTGCTGACATACACATCAAGGGAAATGTCCACGGTCTCATCTGAAATATAAGAAATGACACATGGTAACAGAAACTTATGGTGGAAAAGTGAAAGGAGATGAAAACCAACAGAAGAAGCGTCCTCTAAAAAGTCATCAGGTGATGAAGGAGAGACTAGACACACAAAAGAGATCTCCCCAATATAATGACAGTAAAGGTAAGAGACATGTGGTTAGAAAACATGAAGTTAAACAGAGGGAGGGGATGGGAGCCAGGGGGAGAGGATGCATTGCAAGCAGAGACAATGGTAAAGGGACAACTCACTTGGCTCCAAGTAGCCCTCAAAAGGTTCAGCCCGAAGCCATGGTTTGCAGTACTGGCTGTCATTAAGTTTAGGGATGAAAGAAAAATGGCAGGGAACCTGTCCATTGTTGCTGATCTGGAACTTCTCCTTTTGTAGTTGCCGAAACTTCACATTCTCAAACACAAACTGGGGAATAACAGACAGACACAAACATGCATCACTAGTAGGGGAAGTCAGTCAGTTGGATTATTCCATAGGGAATATGAATAAAGAATAAGGTAATTATTATTGACCAGGTGTACAACTATTGTCTGTACGCCTTCACTGACTGAGCTGGTTGTATGCCACGTCCTCTCATTTGTTATTCTACTCACACCAGCAGAAGAGGAATTAGGCAGCTCTTGCTACTTCTCTGGACTACTCTGATTATTCCTGAGATCCTAAGAGGATAACCCAACCTTGGATCAGGACATTCATCCCATGACCAAATCCTGGTTCCTGAGATATGAATTAACCAGCAGCTCTGAAATACTAAGTAAGAAAAGCTAACATCTGAGGGCTTACTTTGTGCTGGTCACAGTTTTAAGAGCTTCACATGTACTAACTCATGTAATCCTCACAACCACCCCTTTAACCAGAAAAGGAAAGTGTGGCTCTGAGAGAGTTAGACATGCGCCTCTGGTCATACATCTACTAAATGACAGTGCTGGAATCAGCATGGAGGCAGTTTGACTTCAACACACATGGTTTTCACCACTTTGTTGTGTTGCCTTCTCTAACAAACATGCTTTCCCCTGCGCTGACCATGATGGGCAGTGCATGGGGAAGCCATGTATTTTTGCTCACCTCCCTCCTGCTGAGCTCCAAGGAAGGAAGAAAGTCATTTTCCATTCTGTCCATGATGCGTACAATATCTTCAAACACTTTCCGATACCTCCGTTCATCCACAACCTTCACCTGAAAGAAAGTAAACCCTCTTTTTCAGTCTTACATGCTCCTAGCTCATCTTCCTTTGAGATTACCTAACAATTTAAAAGGCGTTGTTACAGCAATCATTTAAAATAAAATGTGGTGGGGCGCCTGGGTGGCGCAGTCGGTTAAGCGTCCGACTTCAGCCAGGTCACGATCTCGCGGTCCGTGAGTTCGAGCCCCGCGTCAGGCTCTGGGCTGATGGCTCGGAGCCTGGAGCCTGTTTCCGATTCTGTGTCTCCCTCTCTCTCTGCCCCTCCCCCGTTCATGCTCTGTCTCTCTCTGTCCCAAAAATAAATAAAAAAAATAAAATAAAATAAAATAAAATAAAATGTGGTGCAAACAACATCTTCAAACACTTTCTGAAATATCACTCCATCCACAACTTTTACCTCAAAGAAAACAGATCCTTATTTTAGTCTTGTGTGCTCTCGGCTTGAATCTCTAAGAGTCTAACAATTTTTTAAACATCACTAAAACAAATATAAATTAAACTAAGCGTTTCAGCACTACACACTTTATGGTAAAGGTAAGGTTAATTGGTTAACTTCCTGGAAAAGTTAAACCTCTGTGCTAAAAAGCTTGGCAGTAGGGGCGCCTGGGTGGCTCAGTCGGTTAAGCGTCCGACTTCGGCTCAGGTCACGATTTCGTGGTCCGCGAGTTCGAGCCCCGCGTCGGGCTCTAGGCTGATGGCTCAGAGCCTGGAGCTTGCTTCCGATTCTGTGTCTCCCTCTCTCTCTGCCCCTCCCCCGTTCATGCTGTGTCTCTCTCTGTCTCAAAAATAAATAAACGTTAAAAAAAAATAACCATTGAAAAAAAAATTAAAAAAAAAAAAAAGCTTGGCAGTAAAAAAAAAAAATAAATAAATAAATAAACAAACAAACAAATAAATAAATAAAAAGCTTGGCAGTAATATTTGGGAAGAATATTTTCTTGCTCCATTGTTAAGTTATTTGGTGTTGGGGGAAATGTGACAATTATGGTAAAAATTATTTCCTGCATTGCACAAATTAAGTGTCAAAACATACCTACTACTGTTTCTAACAATGATCACAAAGCGCTGAAACAGCAGAAAAATGATTAAAGCATTTAATTCTATTAGCTGCTATGCGCAATGCCAAGAATCATAATGTCAGTGCATTATATCATTATATAATGATAAAGGTACGTTAGTAAACAGATCCTATGGTTATTTTAGAGAAGAGCCAATACAAAATGCCCTAGATTAGGGTAAAAAAAGCATGACAAACAAATCATCTTGACTAATAGATCAAAAAATTTTCCCATCTGACACAGCGCTTTCAGCTTCCTGAAATAGCTTCGGGTTTTTTTCACTATTAAACTTCATACAAATCAATGCCAAAAATGAACATAATTAACATAGCATTTTAACTTTTGAGGTTGCAGCTTCTTTTTAGAAAGAAAACTTCACAGATTCCATGTTGAGGGGAAAAAAAAGGACTGATGCATGTAGCAGAGGTTGTAAATCAAATATGGAAAATAAAAGCATCAAAGCTGAGCCAAAGATCTCAACGACTGGGAAGGTTTTTACATGTCTAAGCCATAACTCTTAGAGAACTGAGGCCCAAGCAATCGCTAGTGTCACCAGGGTCCATACTATAGTGTTAAGAGAAATTTTATATATTTTTAATATTTTTATAAAATTTTGCAACTTCTTATTTCATAAAGTATTTTATGTGTGTCATCTTTTCACAACAACCAGCCAGGCTACCGAAGGAAGGATTATTCTTCTGATCCTTGAGAATATCAAGATACAAAAAGATCAGCTAAATTGCTCACTGCCACAGTTGTATCCACAATTGTATCCAATTGTTGTATCTGGACCTCTAGTGTAAGATCCTTTCCAAAATACCAGGTACGCAACAGGATTAATTCACGTAGGTCTTAAAAAATGCAGATGCCGGGGCGCCTGGGTGGCACAGTCAGTTGAGCGTCCGACTTCAGCCAGGTCATGATCTCGCGGTCCGTGAGTTCGAGCCCCGCGTCAGGCTCCGGGCTGATGGCTCAGAGCCTGGAGCCTGTTTCCGATTCTGTGTCTCCCTCTTTCTCTGCCCCTCCCCCGTTCATGCTCTGTCTCTCTCTGTCCCAAAAATAAATAAATGTTGAAAAAAAAAAAATTAAAAAAAAAATGCAGATGCCTTGGCCTACTGCATTTTTTAAAAAGATCTCTAGGCAATTTCTTTGTCCACCAAAGTCTGAGAACCAATGCAACAGATCCCATTACCAAGTACAGGGGTGAAAACCATATCTCAGCTAGCCCACAAGTCTTCTGAAGTTAATTAACTGGCCATTGAGCACTTGGTCCCTTTATTAACAGTCATTGATGACAATGGTGGTAAAAATATAATGTGGTTTCTTAAAGCCTCTAATCATGCCCAAGCATGCCCAAGAGACCAAAATATGGGGTGGTTAACTCAATAAACTCAAAACTTTTCTCAGTGGGTTATCATGATCATACCCCTTAATGGCATATCAAGGATAATGAAGGGGAAAACCACCATAAGAATGTCACCACCTGATACACCCACTTTAGAAAAGGAAATTACCAACAAAATTAGGAATTAAGAATGAGTTAGATGATTAATGAGCTAGATATTTACATAGTAACATGGGTAGCTCTCCAAGACACACCACTGAATTTTTTTTTTTTTTTATTTATTTTTGGGACAGAGAGAGACAGAGCATGAACGGGGGAGGGGCAGAGAGAGAGGGAGACACAGAATCGGAAACAGGCTCCAGGCTCCGAGCCATCAGCCCAGAGCCTGACGCGGGGCTCGAACTCACGGACCGCGAGATCGTGACCTGGCTGAAGTCGGACGCTTAACCGACTGCGCCACCCAGGCGCCCCAATTTTTTTTTTAAAAAAGCAAGCTGCAGACCAACAAATAGGGTATGAGACCATTTATGATATATGTACCAATATACAAAACAATACTCTATTGTATATGGGTAAACACTGAAAAGCATATGCAAAAGTCTAGAAGTGTGTTGTTCAAGATAATAGCCAGTAGCCACATATGGATATTTAAATTTACATTACTTCAGGGGCGTCTGGGTTGCTCAGTTGGTTAAGTGGCTGCCTGTGGCTCAGGTCATGATCTCACAGTTAGTGGGTTTGAAACCTGCGTGGGGCTCTGTGCTGACACCTCACAGCCTGGAGCCTGCTTCTGGTTCTGTGTCTCCCTCTCTCTCTGCCCCTCTCCTGCTTGCACTCTGTCTCTCTCTCTCAAAAATAAACATTAATTTTTTTTTAATTTACATTACTTCAAATTAAATAAAATTGAAAATTCAGCTCTCTTAGTCTCACTACCCACACTTCAAGTGATCAATAGCTACCTGAAGCTAGTAGCTTTTGTACTGGACAGGATAGATCTATAACATTTCCATCATCACAGAAAGACCTATTGGACTATACTGGTCTAGAAAGATATAAATTCATAATGGTAGTTGGCCTGGCTAGAAAGTGGGGGTTTGGGACAAAGGTGGGAGTAGAACAGGGATTGAAGAACTTCAGCCTTATCTGTAAATTTTGCTTAAAACGTTTTTTTTTTTTAATTTTAAAGAGAAAGCACTTTTGATTTCCTGCATAATTTAAGTAGTATTAAAAATTAGAAAGGTAGACATTTATTAAAGATACACAAAAATACACAGGTAGTATGGAAAATTTTTAACTATCCTGCTGGGAGCTCTGGATTAATATGTGTGGAATATTACAAATATTCCAAGGTTCTGAAAAGAAATACAAACAAAAAAGCCAAGCACAGCTGATTAAACCAAAAAGGTTAGTGTCTGGGGAAAGACATCCTTTTAAAAATGAATTAAGAGAATTCAAATGAAGAAAACAGAGCAGCTCACAAGTACAAAATAGAAATTAGGTGGGCTAGAAATAGTATCTAAAGGTTTATGTAGTCTGTAAGTTCTTTGTAACTATAGAGGCATTGTGGGGTTAGTGGAAAGAACATCCATAGGCTTGGGAGTTAAACAGACAAGATTAAAATCTTAGCTCTCCTTCTGGTTGAATGCTCTTAAGGAAGTTATTTTAACTCATTAGTTCTCCATTTGCTCACCTGTTAAATGAGAAATATTTAACTCATAGTACTGTTGTGAGGAGTAAATGAGATATGTCTAAACTGCCCATCCCAGTCCCCAGCACACATAGCTACTATTTGAGAAAAACTATTATTTATTATTATTTTAAAATTTCAAAATGGATAAAAGTCAAGTCACAATTGCTTCAGATTATTCTAAGACCCCGAAGTAACTTTGTAAATAAAGGAAATACCCCCAAAATTCCCCTTTAAGACAGAAGGATAAGACATGTTGGGGATAATCTATCTCAGAAGCAAAAAGAATCAACATATACACAGAGGAAAGAAATCTACCCTATTATGCTCTTTGCATGTCTTAACTCATTAATCCCCATAAGTAGTACCACTGTTATCCCCATTTTATAGTGGAGGAAACTGAGGCATAGGGCTGTTACATAAATTTTCATGGTTACATGGTCAGGAAGTAGTTGAACAAGGATGCAAATCTAACCAGTCTATAAAGTCCACCCTATCAAGCACTGAACTATATAGATTCTGACAGATTACATGACTGTAGGTCTGGGAAATCTACAAGAAATAATCTAAATGTACTAGCTGTCATGGGGTGTCTGGGTGGCTCAGTC